CTGGCATTCCTAAGCTGTGGAACACCTACAATGGGATTTCCTGCTGTGTGTCTTAGAAGCCCAATTCCCATTTTATATTCCACATGACAATGAGCTTGTGAAGACATGAATTAGGTGTCTAAGTAAGGACAAGCTTGCACTAGTTGTGGCCTTTTTTCATGGGATCCACTAGCAAATACCATAAGTCTGGGGTAGTCAAGATGGTGCCCTCCAGATGTTGTTGGACTACAATGCCCATCATTCCTAGCCAGCATGGTCAGTGGACAGGAATGATGGGAGTTGTAGTCTCATCACATCTGGAGGGCACCCCATGGGCTACTCCTGTCTTAAAGTGATCTTTGTGTTCTGCACCCAGTTCTAGGCCTTGTTCTGATTCATGCTCAGAGTGTTTCTAATTCACATCACCGTCATGTTGTGGATGGGCGCAGCACCTCCTCATGACCTCCAATGGTCATGCACCATGGCAGAAGGTTCTGTCTGGATGAATCTTCACAAATGTGGGAGCCAGGCCAAGGCATCTAATTAAAGGTATCTGCAAAACTCAGTAAGACCCAGCCTGGGGAAGATCTTCTACTGTCATCAGCCAGCCCTCTTATCTTCTATAGCATCATTTTAATTTTGGTTTGTTTCTTTAGGTTTAACTGGCATAGTGCAAAAGCCACACTACCAGATGTCCAGGTACCTAGGCATGCATCTGGAATTATTAAATGTTTCCACAGTCATTTTCTTTATTCATATGTTCCTTTATGTTTTCTAATTCCCTGCATTAAAATATTTTTTGTGGGCAAGGACTAGGAGATCTCAATAAAATTGATATTGATATTTGCTCTCCAGTGGCCATCTGGGCTCACATGCATGAGTTCTAATACAGTTGCCCATAATCACAGGAATCAATACACAGAAGTATATGCAACTTCCCATTAATGTTGCAGCTATGGAGAGACATCCTGACCCCACTAATTCTTAAAATCTAGACATGTGGATGTCAGAGATGCATACGGATTTGCATGTCTTTCTCTATGAGCTCCAACTTTAGTTTAATTAAGAAGAAGGGCTAGTGTGGTGTAATAGTTAAAACCCAATACTTGAGAGGGTGGGGTTCAAATCTCTTTGCAGCTATAAAACTCAGTGGGTGACCTTAGGGCCATTACAGGCTTAGTTGGCAGGTCCCTTCCTGCTGACTGAATTTTAAAAAATCCTAAAGCATTTCTGAGCAGAGCAATTCTGAATGTGTTTACTCAGAAGTAATCTCCAGTGTGTTTAGGAATGTACTCAACAAAGCCATTCAGAACTGAGACGCTGGCCACTTCGCCAAATCCAGCCAAACTAGATGCAGCAAACTCCTTTCCCCCTTTTGCTGTAGACATTTCTTCTGGCATGATGGGGATCCATTTGTAGAATTCATGTGTTCTACTGACTCTCTTCCTATAAATCCTCTTGAAATATGATGGTGATGATGATGGTGATGAATTGAAAGAGGAAGAGAAGGGGAAAGAAGAAGACGACCAGCCAGTTATATGTTGTTGTTGTTGTTGTTGTTGTTGTTGTTGTTGTTGTTTAGTCGTTTAGTCGTGTCCGACTCTTCGTGACCCCATGGACCAGTTATATACCCCATAGGTCATACTGCATGGAGGCATTCAAATTTGGGGCTACATAGCTTGCGACTCATCAAACTGAGTGCAGATTATGTACGGTGGTGTAGTGGTTAGACTGTTGGACCTGGGAACTCAGGGTTCAAATCCCTCCCCCCAGCAATGAAGCTCACTGGGTGAGCTTGGGCCAGTCACTGCCTCTCAGCCTAACCTAACTTGCAGTGTTGTTGTCAGAATTAAATGAGGAGGGAAAGAACTTTTACATCCTTAGAGAAAAAGGTGGAATATAAAGAAATAAAACCAGGGACCAGTGTTTTATTATAAGATGGTAGAGAAGCCCCACTCTCCTAATTTCCTGCTATAGTCCTCTTAGCCACTGTTTGGAGAAGATGATGAGGCTGATATTGGGGCGAGTCAGAGAGTGGTGAGAGTTGTGAATTCTCTTAAGGGCACTCCTTTCCCTTCCATAAATCGAGTTCTGCAAAAAACATGGCAGTTATCAAGCAGGCCGCAGCACAGGTGGTGTGGCGGCCCACAAGTTGGATAGGCCTGCTTTCAGTGATCATTTGAAATAATCAGAAGTATTTTAAGCTTTGGTTTTATGTGTGGCTTTCCTTGTTATATGCAGACATTAAAAGGAACTGGCAGGCTCAAGAGATGGGAGATGCATTGGCTCCTTCTGACACGTCGGGGATGAATCCAGCTGTATAAAATAATAGGCAGACCTACACACTGTCAAACACATCATGACAACATAAGAACTGTCCAAAACTATTTTCAATAATTGATTTGCTGTTTAATTGAACAGCATGACTGACTAACATAGCTCATTACTTTACTCATTACTTAATTATTGAAGAAAGTAGGACAAGTCAATAAAATGGAAGGCTGTAAATTCCAATACTAATTAGCACCATTTCCTCAGAGACATATTTTAAGGGCAGATTGGCTACCTGAATGTCCCAGGACCTTGCAGATGAAGGAAAAGGGTAGACGTACCATAAATCTAGATTATAGGCAAAGGAGACGAGTAGAAAAGTAAATGTGTGCCAAGCTACTGCCAAACATACCATGTGAACTCAAGCATTGGGGGCGGAGAGAGGGAGTGTTCTTATTTCATGAATGCTCTTGAATGGCTGAACCACTCTTGATCTGTTCTTGAATGGAGGAAGCATTCTTGTTCAATTAATCACCCATGAAAAACTACACTTGCAGTGCTGTGCTATACATGCCTACTCAAAAGTAGATTCCATTCAGTTCAATGGGGCTTGCTCCCAGGAAAGTTGGTATAGGATGGAAACCTTAATCATACTGAATCGTTCCTACTAATTTCCTAGGAAATTGTTTTGCACTTCAGGCCATCTAGTCTAGTGCTCCTAAAATTTGCATACACTAGGACTCAGGCATGGCCAAATGTGGTCCTCCAGATGTTTTGGGACTACAATTCCCATCATCCCTGACCACTGGTCCTGTTAGCTAGGGATGATGGGAGTTGTAGTCCCAAAATATCTAGAGGGCCACGTTTGGCCATGCCTGCACAATTTTGGGGGGAGAGGAGTGAATGCTGTAATTTAAATAGAAATAGAATGCATCTCAGGATAGAGGGGTGACTGTGACCAGGTGATTTTACCTGCTGGATCTGCTGGATCTGCTGTCTAGGTCAGCAGCTGTTGCTGGGCAGCCTCAAGGCAATTGATCTGCTTCTTAATAATAATAATTTAATAATAATTTTATTATTTATACCCCACTCATCTGGCTGGGTTTCCCCAGCCACTCTGGGGAAATCTTATGATTCAATATCTTTACCTTGGACTTGGGGAAAACAGCGCTTCAAATAGTGTACATCTTCCAATGGAAGAGTGTCCTTTGCATTTGACCACCATTTTAGAAAGGAAAGGGGGCTGAATGTGAAACTTTTTGTATATGCTTTTACCACAGTCCTTCTCACCTCACAAATAGCCTGATCCCATGATTCACCAAAGCAGCAACTTACAAAATTGGTCCTACAGGGGCCATCCCCACTGTAATGACTAGAACTCCAAAATAAATGAATAAAAGTCAACATTTGCTATATTGAAAACCAAGTATAATGCTATGCTTAATACTCCAAAATCAATAAAAGCTTGAAATTCTACTGAAGAATCCTCTTTGTGTTGCCTTTCATCTCATGCAGCACAATTCTGTGCATGTTTACTTAGAAGTAAACCCACTGTGTTCAATGGGGCTTACTGCCTAGCAAGTGTGTTTAACATTGCAGTCTTAATCTGACAAATTTGCTTAATTTCATTCAGTTGGGCTTAGTATCAATTCTATTTATCTGTTCTTTACAGTAGGATGCAAAGCAATGGAGAACAGTGATTCTTCTTCTTCTTCTTCTTCTTCTTCTTCTTCTTCTTCTTCCATCTACAGTGGTACCTCAGGTTACCTACGCTTCAGGTTACAGACTCCGCTAACCCAGAAATAGTACCTTGGGTTAATAACTTTGCTTCAGGATGAGAACAGAAATCGTGCTCTGGCGGCACAGCGGCAGCAGGAGGCCCCATTAGCTAAAGTGGTGCTTCAGGTTAAGAACAGTTTCAGGTTAAGAACGGACCTCCGGAACGAATTAAGTACTTAACCCGAGGTACCACTGTACTAGGTTGGTAGAAGTCCTGCAGCTGTTGGGGGACACCTCAGTGTCACAATGTGAATAAAGTTTGGCTTAAGTATTTTGTTCCTCAACTGTCTTACCCACATCTCACTCCATTTCGGCTTCTTCACTAGCTGAAATGGGCCAATGTAGCTGCACAGTTGCACCAGCAGATCTAACGTGGGAGCAGTGTATCTCACATTCTGCCAGTATTGGGAGGAGGGCTTCCTGTGTCCAATAGCCCCTCAGCCAGAGTCACTGAATGCAGCAGGCATAGGGAAGCTTTGACTCATCAAATGCTGCAGAACCTTGCCTGTGGCCATGCTTGCTGGAGATGGTGAAGTTTGTAGTTCAGCAACATCTGGAGACAGGGGTGCCAACTTTAATAAAATATTGTGGGGGCCCAGGTGAGCCCCACCCCACATAATCGATCACATGACGTGGTACACACACACCATTTGAATGGCAGTGCCCATCAACTGGGGGAGGGCAGCCACCTCAAATATTTTATTGGGGTAGCAAAGCCCCCATGGCCCCTAGAAGTTGGCTCCTATGTCTGAAGTGCCAAAATATTCCCCATGCCTGGACTATAGCGTTGCACCTTTGATCATTCTCTCTTTCCTTTGATTAAAAAAATCATTATACAGTAGCACTGGGCACATCACCATATATGTCGATAATCTTCTGCATGGGTCAGGGCAATTTATTTTTATACTACCTTTCCATAATTGCTGTGCAAGAAGTACTTTGCACGTAAATTAAAAGTGTGTGTGTGTGTGTGTGTGTGTGTGTGTGTGTGTACACATGCATATTCAGATATATATGTACACACATATACGTACATATATGTACACACATATCTATTTCCATGGCTTCAAGGGAGATTTAAGCTTCTTTTTCCAAATATATACCTACCAGTATATCATGGGGGACAAAGAGGACAAGTCAAAAATTATATTGGACTAGTGCAAACTCCTTGCAGATGACTACACATTTTTGTTTTTATCCCAGCCAGATATTAGAAGTCTGCCTTTCCATTGCTTCTAGTGTTATAATCTGGTGTGGAATTCTACATCGAATTGTTTGCTTTTGCAGTCTAGATGTGGGTACAGAGATTATAAAATGTCTTGTTGATCGGCTTGAGTAAAATACAAAAACTTGGTTAGTCGCTGAAGGATTTTCCAAAGGAAGAGCAAGTTTTTAATCCTCCGCCCATCCTCACCCGCTTTACACTTTTCATTTGCAGGTAGCTGCATATCTGGTAAGTGTTCCTCAAGGGTGTTTCAAAGTCTGATTTCCAATTATGTAAATCAAAGTGGCTAGAGCAGCATTATCTAAGATTAATTAAAAAAGAAATCACCTTTTATACAAAGCTTCGGAGCAACATTTTAAACACATAGCGTTGGATTACTCAACACAGAGGCACCACAGACATTTTCTCCTTTTGACGTGCTATACTCCTGTTTTAAGTTCTTGATTTCAACCCACAAGTTACTATTTCGGTAAATGTTTTCAAAAGTATTAGTGCTAAGCCAAAATATTCTCACTCTCGTTTTAATCAGTAGTTTTGAAAATCTGCCCTCTGGCACTAATAAACTAGAACTGAAATTTAGGAGACGAGAACTGTGCCTGTGTAGTTTAATGGAAAGCTCCTGGTTACATTAATGGGGGGAAAAACTTTAATTATTTCAGGAAAGTTTCTTAAAAATAACTGTGGTAATTTATTACCCAAGTTTGCATGCCTGCACAGACTGCTGTTTAGATGTAACAGTGGATAATCTATTATGTGCAATGCTGAATTTCTGCTTGTCTATTCTCTTCCCCCATCCAATACTGTTCTGAGGGTTATTCTGATCCTGATCTTCTAGAGCAGGGGTGTCCAACAGGTTGATTGCAGGCTCCTTTTCCTTTGTTTTTGCCTAAGAGCACCCGGCTCTGGCCCCTCTCCCCTCCCTGCATTTTCTCCTGATCTCTGAAACAGAAAACGGAGTTTTTGCTGTGTGTCAGATTGCTTCCACAGCGATCTTTTGGTGAGCAACTAATCCCCTTCCCCCTTTATTTTTTCCCCAGACCCCCCAAAACCGAAACTTTCCTCCCTGTATCCCAATAAAACGGGGCACTTCCCCTCTCACAAAAAGCTCTGCAACTTTGACCTGAACCCCAATAAAACGGGGGTAGATTACTTCTAGTTTTTAACTCTGTGAGTAGATCGCAGTCTCCTGGAAGTTGGCCACTCTTGTTCTAGAGTGGACTGGGGGCATGCAGGTCAGGGGGGAGAAAGCCCTATTTCCGCTAACAGGAGTCCTTGTGCTGGATCCTGCTAGTCATAGGAGCCAATGCCTAGGGGTTGAGGTCCCTTTGTTCCCCCAATAAAATATTTGAGGTGTCCCATCCCCCAGGTAGATGGCCATTGCCATTCAATTGGTGTGCGCCACGTCATGTGATCTGTTATGCAGGTTGGAACTAACCTGTTGTACCCCCCAATATTTTATTCAAGTTGGCACCACTTTCGCTAGTCAAATGGGTTGGTTAAATCTGGCCTGTAGTCCATTTGAAAGGACAACAATGATGTTGGGGTCAATGTGGAGAAATGGATTCTGACATTTGGAAGTTATCCAAAAGTACATAGATGCCACCATCATTGGCTTGTGCTCTTGAAGTTCACATCTAGCATTCGTGGGCAGGTCACTTCACAGGGATTTTCCAAAATCAAATATCCATGTGTGAATTAGACATACCCAATCCCCAGGAGAGATTGTGTGAATTGGGAACAGCAACTTTTTGTCAGTAAAGATGCAGAAAAATAAATCTCAGGCTTATCATAAAAACACTGTCAAGGAAAGAAGGGTCCTTCAGAAAACAGACATTGAGTACCAATATAGTTGGTTTTCTTAATCACCTAGTCACTTGAGTTAACTTTTTCTTCCTCATTGGCCCACACTAGCAAGGGCCAGGGTAGTTTAAGACTTAGGGATGCCTGCTAAAAGGGACCCCTGACCATTAGGTCCAGTCATGGCCGACTCTGGGGTTGCGGCACTCATCTCGCTTTATTGGCCAAGGGAGCCGGCGTACAGCTTCTAGGTCGTGTGGCCAGCATGACTAAGCCGCTTCTGGCGAACCAGAGCAGCGCACGGAAACGCCGTTTACCTTCCCACTGGAGCGGTACCTATTTATCTACTTGCACTTTGATGTGCTTTCAAACTGCTGGGTTGGCAGAAGCAGGGACCGAGCAACGGGAGCTCACCCTGTTGCAGGGATTTGAACTGCCAACCTTCTGATCGGCAAGTCCTAGGCTCTGTGGTTTAACCCTCAGCGCCACCCGCATCCCCACTAGTAAGGGCCAGGGTAGTTTAAGACTTAGGGATGCCTGCTACTCTTCCCCAATTTGGGGATCTCCACATGCTGTTGGCCCATGACTCCCACCATCTCTGACCATTGACTATGGTGTCTTGTGCCCATAGAGGTTGTGAACCTATTTGCATCACAGGGGCCCTGGGTTGGGAAAGTCTGGGTTAGAATGTCAGACAAGGACTCTTGAGTGAACTTGGGCCAGTGACTCCCTCTTAACCTAATAGATTTCAACAGGTTTGTTGAGAGGATAAAATGGGGTAGTGGTGCCCCAATTCCTTGGAAGAAAGGCGAAATATATAATTAGACCACAATGATACATACACATACCTGGGAGCAAGCTCAGCTGAGCAGTCAGGAAAAGGACTCCATGTGTTTATTTATTGAAATCTAAAATATTACACCTCACCTTTTCTCATATTGTTCAAACAATATTCTCATATTGATAAGCAAAGTTGTCAGACAGAATTCCTATTTACCAAATCCTAACATTTTTAGTGATGCACAAATGACTCCAATACACAGAATTGTGCGTATAGCATATTCTTTCACAGATGCTGTCATTTTCCTTTTGCTTGAATGCCTTGCATTGAAGAGTGAAGTGTTCATATGCTCTTGCTCTTTGGTTTCAAACACGTTATTGTTTATTACTAAGGATGAAAGGATAAGTCAGTTTCTGCTCCCTCAGTTTCTCATCTTTCCCATCTTGAACTCAGATCTCTGCAGCAATTTCCAATTATCATCATAATCACCATCATCATTTTTTTAAACCCCCCTCCCAAAATCCTCATGAAAATCCTTTAGCATTTTAGTTCAAATCGCTCCTAATCAACAAAATGTTGTATGTGGCTTCAATAAATGTGCACATATTTGCAAGCAATTTCATCCCATATCTTGCATTTTTAATGTTATTTCCATTAATATATTCATTTTTGCACACTTTCTCCTAATCTATGCATTTTTATTAACATTAGTTGGAGAACAGCATCCTGTTTTATTATGTTTTTGTATATGTTGGAAGCTGGCTAGAGTGGCAGGGTACAAAGAATAAAAGAAGAAGAAGAAGAAGAAGAAGAAGAAGAAGAAGAAGAAGAAGAAGAAGAAGAATAGAAGTGTGAATTATGAAAGATAGCTATCTTTCAATTCTCATATTGTGTTGGAAGGTGTGCATTTCATAAGTTTAGTTTTAATTGTGAAATGATCTTAATCTCCAATAAATGCCATTCGATTTGTAAGCAGATTCCTATTATTGTTATTGTTATTTTACATTTTGTGCGAAAACAATTGGTTTTAATGAGCATTTTGGAAGCCTCATTTGTGCCTCCCTGTTCATTTGTTCCAAGGGTGGCTATACAGGTGATTACCCAGTGTAGCACCTGGAGCTCTTCCACATCATCCTAGGTAAAATATGCAAGCTGGAAGTGCTCTGGCAGAATTCTGCCTGGTCCTCTTCTTTTCGAGACAGGCCCTCAGGCCTTAGCAGCCTTTAATCAGCTGTAACTGGAGTGAAGCTGTCAGCTCTTTGCTTGCACCGTGTCAGCTTTAGTATTACTTAGAGCATTCCTGACAATACAGATTTAACAGGCAACCTGTGGGGTGGCAAAGCATCTTTTTCATAGATGAAACTTTCCAGAGCTATAGCATCAACAGCTATGCCAGGGTTGTCAATGCTTGGCCTGGAAAGATGCTGTGTTGTGTCCAATAGCTGCAAGGCAATGAAAAACTTAAGCAGCAGCTAGGGACGGAAGGATCTGTCAATTTTGGTTCTCTCAGCTTCTCATTTCTCCAATTTTAAAGTCAGTTCTCTACATTACCACCACAGCAATTCCCCCTTTTTAAGAAATAAAATAAAAAATAAAATCCTCATGAAAATTCACCAGCATTTTAGGACAGATTTCTCCCAATAAGTACAATTTTCAATGCAGTTTTGTCTAATGTACACCTTTTCCAAGCCATTTCCCTTAATATAATGCATTTTTATTTTTATTTTTTCACTAATATATTCACATTTTTGCACTCTTTCCCATAATATAGTCATTTTTGGAAACACCGTTTGGCTGGAGAACTGCATTACAAAATTCAGATACGTGCATGAAGGCTAGCTATGTTTCAATTTGTGATATGTTTTGGAAAGTGCAAACTGGAACAGAGGTAAGTTCTACCGTATTTTGTTCTATTTTTATTGTAAGCCACCATGAGTTGGTTTTACCCTATATTCCCTCATGGGCCAGGTGTAAGAATTGGGTAGAGCAATAGCTGCGACTGTTACCTCTGCCTACATTCCAGCTATGCAAAATTCAGGTGTGTTCCTGCATCCCTCCCTCCATACCCTCCATCCAGGCAAGCAGTAGACATGTGGTCAAGGATACCTTCCAACCAGGCAAAAGCACTGGAGGAGGATGTGGAACAGGACTGGTTTGGTGTGTGTCCTGAGGAGAGGGAAAGATCTGAGGGCTGTACAGAGATGCCTAGAGGGCCATATTTGGTCTTAGGCATTGAAGTTAGGGTAGC